TACCATAAACAAACAATAACAAGCAAAGAAATGTATTGCTGCAAAGAAAGTAGTTTCAGGAGGGATGAAGCAGGGCTCAAACTCACCAATAATTGTACAAAACCAAGAAGAGCAGAAATAAAAGTAGAGTTCCCAATCCAAACCCATCATCAAAGGCGGAGCTGCTTGTTTGTTGAAGTGAAGGAGAGGAAAAAATGCGTAGGGTGGGGACGAACGTTGAAAGCAACTGCACAAGGACCAACAGTAAAAGAAGCACAAGCACCATCACAACATAAAAACTTCCACCATCCGACTCTCCTGCTTGAAACAAAGGCAGAACAAAGTCTATAATAGAAACCAAAGTAGGACCAAATATCACCAATCCCAACACTCCCACCATTAGAGATGGTACCAATGGAGATGGCCCTTTGCTTCTCATTGCTCTCCTTTTTTTTTTTTCTGTGGGGTTTTCAAATGCAAACAATCTTCTTGGCAGTCAAAAAAAAAAGTTGTTTGTGACTGTGAAAGTAAATGAGTTTGTTGAAGATGGATAAGGAATTTGAAACCATTTTATGATCCTTTTCTTTGAATTTTGTGTTAGTTGATCCATTAGAAAATGTCCATTGAGTTAATCCAGTCATCTGTATTTTAATCTCTTTGTTTGTACATAGAATGGAGGTTAGCTACAAGGCCAACTATGATCGGATTGAATCAGAAGGAAAATTTGTTTTTTAATGGTTTTCTTCAAGGATTATAACTACGGAAATGGAGCTAATTGCTAGAATATATATTTATGAAAAGGACATTCATCAGTCATCGATGCCTTCAAAGTGAAATTTTAAACTAACAACTTCGCTGTCAGAATGACGAAAAATTAGTAAAATGTTAGATTCTTAACTCCAGTGATCAGAAATTAACAACACTTGCTATCCTGCTTCATTTCCTGCAACTAGAGTTACAACACTGTATACAAACAAAACAAATATGGTGGGTTCCAGCCACACCAACACTCTTAAATACGCCTCAGTGATCAAGATGGAGGGCTATACTTAAGATGCGGCTCGAAGAAGTTCATCAACTGGCAGTCTGGCAGAGAAGAAAAAGAGACAAAAGATGTGCGAGCATTGTCAGCTCTTAGAGCCAATGTTGATTGACTAGGGAAAATATCAGCCGCGAAGATGATCAATTACAAAAGAGTTTGTAAAATGCTCCAACAACAACTAAAACTCTAAAGAGCATAACAAAAGTACATTAAGTGTTATTACATCAGAACATAATAATTAACAGAAGCAAGAACCAGACTTCCATCCAATAATACCAACCACCAACATAATAAAACTAGAAACAATCTCAAACGACCCCTTAACAATTTAACACTGTCAACTAAATTTTTATTAATGAGATTAAAACGTTATCATTGTATATACTTTAATTTCAGTTTAGCAATTAACACCGTCAATTCAACGCGCTTAAATGGGATTATTTACTAAAATTTTAGACTCAGAATTTGATACATCATTCACAAAATCTAATGTATTGCCATGTAACAAAGTAATAGAGTTATGTCATTCTAAGCAACTGATTATCAAGGAGTACTTTAATTTTATGTGGAATTACATTATTTTCAAAACTGTGGACAATCCCAGGGATTGAATCAAACATAACCTTCGTCTTCATATGACAATGAGTTACATAAAAAATGTCTCTGATACATAAAATATTGTGAAATGCTGCAGTCAAAAAATTTTATGTTTTCTATGAACAACCATTTGTAAGTACACGCACAATGCCAAAAGCCTTGCTACTTAATGCTAAACTCTTAGTTTCAGTGATTAAGAATCAATCTTGATAACTTCAAATTCAGAAAAAGAATGATGCATTTGTACCGTTGGCTTTTGATCCTCAATTCAACTATGCATGCCAGTAAGTCCATCAGTAATCTCTATCCTGGATCTTTTGTGGCATATGAAGGCAAATATTGCTGCAGATGTTCTGTTCTCTTTTTGTTCTTCAACTTCTGTAAAGCGCATGACTCGATTTGCCGGATTCTTTCTCTGCTTACACCCATTGACTCCCCGATTTCTTGCAAAGTTTTCATCCTTCCGTTCTCCATTCCGAACCTCCATCTGAGCACCTTTCTTTCTCTTGGACTCAGAGCTGTCCAATACCTTTTCAAGATCCTTCTTCATGAACTGCTTGATCAGCATATCTTCTGCCGTATCTTCTTCAGGATCTGCAATTACTTCCTGGACAAAATTAACATAGTCCCCTCAGAAAACAAAACAAAATCAAAGTGCATTAATGATCACAGGTTAAAAATGGAAAAAAAAAAAAAAAGTAAATGCCACATTTGAAATAGGACGGACAGAAGGTTTGAGATTTTGGTTGATCCCAATCTTCTGAGCAAGAGACCAAGGAACCCTAGGCGAGAGTAGAACAGCAGTGAGCCTCTTCATGGAGAGCCCTGTTGCCTCTGCAACTTCTTCATTGTCAGGCTGTCTTCCATTCTCTCTGTACAATTGCTTTCTAGCCTCCTTCACTCTGAATGTTGCCTCAACCATGTGAAACTGTAAAGCCAAAAAAGTTGAAAAAGTAAGCAGATTTGACGCATTTACTTCAATAATAACGACATATATTATGAGATCATTGATCCAACATGACAGGAATTGGTATTATCTTTATTTATCATAGACACTTAAAAATGGCAATGCATTTAGGACCAGAACACTTTAGAACTTACCGGCAAGCTAATTGTCCTTGGCTGATCAGAGAGAGACTTCCGTACAGCTTGCTTAATCCACCAGTGGGCATATGTTGAGAACTTGAAACCTTTAGAAGCATCAAACTTCTCAGCACCTCTTACAAGGCCTTGGCATCCTTCTATGAATGAACCAGGCAAGATTCAGACACTAAAAGCATAAGCTAAAGCTGCTCTTTTGCCCTTTCTCTTTCGTTTATTTTTTGCTTTTTTTTTTCACAGTTCCATTCTCACGATGAAATCAATTTATTCAGCTACATGTAGCAGACCACATACCTGAACAAGATCTTGGAGATTCATTCCAGCTCCCTGATAATTTTTTGCAATTGAAATAACAAGCCGTATATGTTGCTTTTAATCATTTTGTCCTTGCAAAGTATGCCATAATTTAAGCGCCTCCTCAGGGTCTTCTGATCAACTCCAGCAGCAGCAGCAGCCCACTGTGTAAGGGTTGGTTGTCCTCCACATCTGTCGGCAAGCTCCTCCTGGAGCCTTTCCAGTTTCAGTTGGTCCTGAAGGCATTGAAAAGAGGGGAAATTAGAAATTTACAAAAACAAAGATGAGATATATACATCAACGTTTTAGTTCAAAGTCCAACAAGCATGATAAACCATTTAGATGAGCCAATTACAGCAGATTTCTTTTCTGTTTTTGCAGAACTGTAGTTCTTAATCATCAAGGCAGCATCCTTGGCAACCTTAACAGCCGCTCATGGAAGAGCTACTGCTTCAGCAGCAGCAGCAGCAGCAATTACAGCCTCATCACTCGTCAGAAGATTTTCAGGTACTAAATCTGCTCCAAGCTAGCCTGCAGACATATCAAAACAGTGAAAATGCGACTGTATCACAGACATCATAGTATGACCTCATAACAAGCACCAAAATTGTATAGTAGATTTTGACTCTTTGATAAAGAGATAACTCAATCAGATATCGTAATTACAAATACAGGCCCAAATGATAAGGCACAGCCAGACAATTAACACTGAGAATGATCTTCAGAACTGATAATATGACCAGAACTCAGTTGCCCAGAATCAAGAAACTAAAAAGAGAAGTTAGGAGTGAAATTCTGATATGACAAATTGGCTCCATTTTAAAAGGATATCAAGAAAACAGAATTACTGGAAGAAAAACCCCTCAAATGGGACTAAAGCAAAACCTATGCACTTCTAACTAAAATGCTTGATCTTCATATACAATGTGAAGTTTATAGGCTCATTGTCGGGCATGATCTTCATATGAAAATAGATGATTCATAAGTTTATCTAGGGTCAATGAACTAGATGAAGGAAGAAAATATGTCTATTTCAGAAGTGCAATAACAAAACTCCACAGTTTTTCACTGAAATTCTCAACTTCGTACCCTCAAACTAACAAGACTGACCTCTGAGGGTGGACCAGTTGCCCCTATATATATATACCCATAGTCTATCCGCCACAACTGAACTCAGATCAGCTTCAAAAGATGGTAATCTTAGCTTTTTTACATCAAGCATTGCGGTTGTCACTGTGGATGTTGATGATGAAGTGGTAGATAATTGTGTTCAGAGACATAGATTCTTTATGTTTTTCTGCAGATTCAGCCAAGAAATCAGGAGAAAACAATTAATGGCGAATGATACCATTACCAATTAGGATAATGAGTATACAAGAAACATTACAAGCCAGTTCAACTTTAACGTTTTATATTTAATAATCATACAAAAAATCATGCAAAGAAAAATATTACAAACTACAAAGCCTTATCCAAAGTCCACTCGTGATGGGGAAATAGTAGATAAAATAGGATGGTAAAGCCATATTAATGTAACAAGCTAAATGAAGGTAATTAATTCCTCAAAAGCTGAGGAAGACAATTCACTCTGTCACTTACTCGAGGCATTAACAATAGAAATGTAGGTAATGCCCCGTTGAATGATTAAGAGCAAAAGTCAAGTGGTATTGGCATAAATTACTTTGTTATAAAAGTAACAAACGGGATTAAGATCCGATTTATGAATATGTTTACTGCAAGATAAGGATAATTATAATTTACATTTATACCATCCCAAATTCATGAACAAATTAACAAATGGAAAATCATAAGTTCTAATTAGAACCATTTTTACCATCCTCAATTCAAGTAATAAACAGGAATGTAAATTACAGCATAGCAACAAAGAGTTGAACCAAACACTCCATGACACAAACTCAAGTAGAGTTGACGTGGCAAGTTGTACAACCAAATATATATACTACCCTAAGTCACCCTAGCAAAAGCAAAGCTAGAAGAGTGAAAAAAAACCTCTGATTTCCCAGTCCTGAGCCCTCTCTCTGTCTCAAAGGCCGCCCCGGAAATCTCGATTTTTCCTTTCACGCGGCAGCAAGGTCAAAGGCGATTCACTCCCTGCCGCAACCGAATTTCTAGGCTTCCAGTACTGAAGCTGTTAAGCAGATCTAGACCTATATCAAATCCCACAACCTCCAGGTCCAGTCTCTATATATTTTTCTTTTGCTTCAACTATAGTTTTTTTTTCTTTTTAATTTGCTTCAACCCAATTTCAATGTGGTTTAACTGTTCGATGTAATGCTTCTTTATACACTATGCAAAGTCCTTGCAATTATGTTTTGACATTTTGTTTTTGTTTTTCAGGGTGTAATTTGTAAGATGTTGAAGCAAGTAATAGGGAAGGTTTTGAGCAAAAGGGTAGTTTCAGATTATGGAGAGAAGCTTCTTTTGCCTTGCGTGTACTTGCCCACAAGTTCTTTTCACAGTGGACAGGTAATTCGTTTTTTCGTTTAAACTTTATTTAGTTTTTATGGATACTCAATTCATTTGTTAATAGAAAATTTTGTCAATTAAAACCAAAACCATTACCCATTGATGCCCAGACTCCAGAAATTGTGTTCATTGTTTGATATTACAAGAAAAAAGTACATAGAAACATGAGAAATTTTATTTGCAACATGTTTTTGTCAAGTCCTCTCTGTGTACGATGCATAGAAGAATTCAATTGGTGTATTTTGATTGAAATTTGGTTAGCTGAGAGTTCTTAAGTTCTTTTTAAAAGCTGAGTTTTTCCAACTTTCAACACTCATAATCATATAGCAGAATCCAATTCAGTCTAGTTTTGGTTTTGCCCTAATTTTTTTTCCATTTTATGATGCTAGTAATGTTCCATAATGGGTGGAGAGATTTAAAACTTACTGTAACATCTACCTTATGGCAAACTTGAAGTGAAACATTCAGCTTGGCTTGCTTGGAGGGGTCTGAAAATGGTTAGGAGAAGAGAAATGATAAGAGAGGAAATGTACATAATCTGTTCATACATCCTTATTTATTTGATTTGTTGATATAAATAAATTGACTTTGCCAACCTTACTTACTCTAGATTTAATGATTATAAGGTTCTTCTATCCTATCCTCACCTTGCTACCTATAGGCGTGGGATTACTATATCCTTTTTAACTGGTTTGCTAGTAGAATAGGGGATAGATAGCCTTTGAAAGTGCCTTTACCTTTTACTTTCCTCTAGTGGACCTGGGATTAGGTCGTTGCCTCATACATCGCTCTTTACTTAATTCCTGACTCTAGAACCAGTTAGAGAGAGCGGGCTTTCTATTACAACGCTGACTTACTCTAGAAAAAAGGGTTATTGTTCCCTCAAAATATCTCCTTTCTTCCAAATTTTATTGCTGAATGTACAATTATCAAGCTTTTTCTGATGCATGTAACCTTGTTTCTGATGGTTCTCAGCCCCTTCCTATAAGGAATTGATGTTATTCAATCTATGCTTATATGTTGCTTCATTAGGTAGAAAAGTTCAGTCACTTCCAAACTTTATAGAAATCACAATGACTAATTGATTCAAACTAAAGGGTCTGTTTTTGGTAGAACTGGTAATTCGTATGTTCATGTTTTATTTTACACAAAAATTATATGTTATAATTCGTGTCGACGTGGAAAACATGAAATATGTTTTTTTTTTTTTTTGTTAAACTCATATGATTTTCTTTAAAATTTTAAACCATGTTAGATTATGAGGTCTAATTTTTGGCAATGACAACAACGTTTTCCCTTTTACAGATTCATCGTGCGCCAAGAAGTTTTTTTGGGGTAGAGGATTTTCTTGATGATGATAATAGCAGGCCATACACTTACAAGAAGGAGAAAAAGTCAAAGAATCCAAATAAACATATGTCATTTAAACAACGCACTGGAGCCTACATGGAGCCATTTACACTTGATGTCTTCATCTCAAAGCGCTTTGTTTCTGCTTCCCTTACTCATAGGGTGACATGTAAGCAGGTTGCTGTGGGGGGCACAAACTCTAAGGACATTAAAGCAGTACTGAGATCAAGATCAGACATTCCTGCATGCTTGGCAATTGGGCGGATTTTAGCTGAGAGAGCAAGAGAAGCTGATGTATATACTGCTTCTTATACTCCCAGGGAGAGGGACAAATTTGAAGGAAAAATCAGAGCCGTGGTTCAGTCCCTCATTGATAATGGAATTGATATCAAAGTTTATCTTGACTGAATAAGTTGAATTCAATTTTGATGCTTTACTCAACCTTGTGGAAAATGTTTTCTATTGTTTTAGCTTGAGAGTATGATTGAACCAAAACCATATGCTGGGTATGAAAACAAATTTGACTGTTGCATTTCTATACCTTTTTTGTTTTTTGTATATATGGAGTCAATTCACTTATATTAGCGTAATTCTTATTATTAATTAAATAATATTAAAACACTAGAAGTGATATTATCATTATGCCCAGTGGCTTAAATAAAATGCACATTTAAATAGTAATAAATTTTTAAAAATGCAAACATTAAGAATTAAGCAAAGATTCATTTCTTAATCTTAACTCACGCCATTGGAGTTTAATATCAAAACAACATGCTTAGGTGAGTACTTAGTAAGCAAATCTGTCTATGAATCAAATTAGGTTGGATTAGATTCAATCAATCTTTTAAAAGTTTTATTGAAGGTTGGGTTCAAGAGGTTTAAATTTTTTTAAAATTATATATTAAAAAGATTAAAAAATAATATTTTATTAATAATTTAATCTCATATTGATACGAATAAATTTAAACTCAAAAATCTTTATTCAAAACCCGATTATTAAACATGTCTGCCTGCAAAATAAAGATAATTATAATTTACATTCATACCATCCTAAATTCATAAACAAAATAACAAATAGAAAATCACAAGTTCTAAGTAGAACCACTTTTAGCATCCTCAATTTAAGTAATAAAACAGGAATGTAAGGTTTCGTTTGTTTTATAGAAATTGATTTTCAGAAAATATTTTTTTAAAATATATTTACATGTTATTTGGTTATTTTCTGTAAAATCTTTTTTTTCAAATAATTTAATATAACTATTAAAATATTAAAAATTATTTATTATTAAAGTATATTGAAATTATTTATTGTTAAAATTATTAATATTCAAGAATAATTATATTTTAATAATGATATTTAATATTAAAATATTTAAAATAAAACTATTTATTATTCTTTATATTAATATTCAAAATATTTAAAATAGTTTTACTATTCTTAAAATATTATTTTTATTAATATTAAAATAATAATATTTACTATTAAAATATTTATACCATTAAAATATTTATATTTTATATTGAAAGTATTTATTATTAAATCATAACAAAAATATTTATTTTGTATTTATTATTAAAATAGTAATATAAATACCTTAATAAATAAAAAATAAAATTATATATTTTAAACAAAAATAATAAGAAATTATTTAAAATATTCATATTAAAAATTATTATTATTATATTATTTAAAATTAATTATTAAAATAATAAAAATATTATTATATAAGTTATTATTTATTATTAAATTAATAATATAATATTATTTATTGTTGAAATATTAAAAATATTTATGTTCAATAATATACAAAATAAAAATATTTAAAATTGAAATATCAAAAGACTTTTAATGTTAATATTTTAATATTTTAATTAAAACTAAATAAAATTTTTATTAACATAATAATTTTTAAATCGAATAAAATCAAATTCGAATTTAAAATATTGTATTCAAATCTTACTTAAATAAAACTATAAAAATATTTAAAATTAAAATATTGAGAGACTTTTAATATTAATATTTTAATTTTTTAAATAAAATTAAATAAAAATATTATTTATTAATATAATAATATTAATAAATATTTATTAACATAATAATTTTTAAATCAAATCAAATCAAATTCAAATTTAAAATATTGTATTCGAATTTTACTTCAATAAAATTATAAAAATATTTAAAATTAAAATATTAAGAGACTTTTAATATTAATATTTTAATTTTTTAATAAAATTAAATAAAAATATTATTTATTAATATAATAATATTTTGAATAAGATCAAAATAAATTTGAATTTAAAAAAACATGTACAAGATTTGATTTGAGAAATATTATACTATTTTTTGTTGATCTATATAAGTAATTATTGACCAATCAATTTTTTACAAAATAAATATCTAAAAATAAAAAATTATTTTTCAAAAATTATTTTCTAAAATGTAAAGGAGACTATAGCAACACCGAGTTGAACCAAACTCTCCATGACCTTACTCAAGTAGAGTTGACGTGGCAAGTTGTACAACCAAATAAACATACTACCTAATGTCACACTTGCAAGAGCAAAATTAAAAGACTGAAAAAACTTCCGATTTACCAGTCCTGAGCCTTCTCTCTGTTTAGAAGGTCGCCCCGGAAATCCCGATTTCTATGTTCACCCAACAGCAAGGTGAAAGGCGATTCACTCTCTACTTCAACCCAATCTCTAGGGTTTTCAAAGGTTTCAGGGTGCTGTAGCTTCTCCAGCGGCGGCGTCGCCGTCGTCAGCAGCAGCAGCAGCCAAGATTTCTTCTGCTTCTGCCGCTGCGAAATCAGCTACTTCGAAAGTGGCCAAGAAAACTACGAAAAAGCCAACCACTTCAAAACCCAAGACTGAAAAACCGGCTGCTTCTCGAACCATGATTCGACCCACTGGAATTGTTGAACTCTCCCCCGTTTCTACTGCTTTGGGTCAGTTCCTTGGAGCCCAACAGGCGTCCCGTACTGAAGCTGTTAAGCAGATCTGGACCTATGTCAAATCCCACAACCTCCTGGTCCAGTCTATATATATTTTTTCTTTTGCTTCAATTATAGTTTTTTTTTTTTTTAATTTGCTTCACTTCTAGTTCATTGGTTTTCATTGATGTGTTCTTATTGTTCATGACTCTAAGTTTGGTGCTTTTAAGGGATTTAAAATTGATGCTTGATTTGCAAGTTAAAAGGAGTTTTTTTCCCCAGTTTTTGTGGTTTCCTTTTGTATTTTAAAGTGACATTTATAGGAGAAAACTGGGACTCAGATGAGACTAGAAGGTAAATATTTGTTTATTCATGTAAGAAAGTGAAGTAAAGGTGAAGGGAAAGAAGGGATGGTTCCAGAAGTGATTTCTAAGACTTTGGATTCTGTCACCTGTGCTTAAATTAAGCCACATGTTATGCCACTATGGCCCCTTTTCTTGCATTTCCTAGTTTTCCAAGCGCCAAGGTTTTGCTTGGATTTTGTGCTGAAAATTGGAATGGAACTTTCTGTTTCTTGTGACAAATGATGTCTTCATTTGCTTTTCCAGAGTTTCAAGAGAGCTTAATGCGCTGGTGGATATTGGAAATCACTAGGGAAAGGAAAGAAAAAAAGACTTATATGAGAATATTTAAGAAAAGAAAAAAAGAATTGTATGAGAGTATTTAAGAATCAGACTTTAATCTCTTGAGAGTGACTTGTTGCTTCCTTCAGTTTAGTGTTAGATCCTAGAGGAGGGTAAACAAATTGAAAGGAGGAATGCTTGTTGTCCTTTGGGCTAATGAGACTGTCCTTGACAGAGAGGCTGAGAGCAATGGGTTCTTTAGGTCTATGGTGTTTGACTTGTCTAATGGCTGGTTATATTTGGTGTTTAGTTCTCTTTCTTGTTAGATGTATCCCTCCTAAGCGACATTTTCACCCTCCACTTCCTTTTTCCTCATTAATGCTTGAATAAGAGATTTCATTGGAGAATCTTAATTTTTCCACATATTCTCCCATGGCATGTGCATCTTATTACTGATTAGCTATTATTGGTGGAAATGAGAGCGTGAATGAGGAAAGAGAAGTATGGGAGAATGGTTGAGATTAGTCTCTCGGCAGTGTTAACGGATCCTCCGATCCTCTTGCACGTGTTTCATATTATGTCTACGGAGATGAGTAACACGAATTTATGCAATACATATTTGTGTTTCCTATAGGAAGGAAACAATAATCCTCTTTTTATGCCTGAACCTTAATTTTCACATGGATGATCTTGTTTCTTTGTCTGCTGGATCATGTAAGCAGTTACTGTGATCATTGTCTTGTACGCTGCTTGCCATGATGTTAAAGTTGCTGATTTTACTATTTTATGTTTAATAAATTTTGCTTAGATATCATATTGTGAGTGACTCTGACATTGTTTTATGAGGAAATTTTGTCTAATAACATACAATAAAATATATGGACGCTTTTGCCTGCAGAATTCCGATAACAAGAAGGAGATCTTTTGTGATGAGAAGCTTAGACTATTGTTGAAGGAAAAGAAAAGATTGGTTTCCTGGAGATTGCGAAAATGTTATCCCGCCACTTTGTGAAGACTACCTGACATCTATTCTCGTTCTTCAGTTGCCCAACCAACATTGAGCTAGCTCTTCTGTCATTTGGAACTGAACTCTTTTCAATATATGTTCATGTTTTGCATTTTGTTTTGAGAGCTGAAACTCTCTGGGGTGGGCTTTGCAACTGAGAAAGTTTCTAGCTGGACTAGTGTAAAAATCTAGTAGGGACTAGCGAGTGAAAAGGTTTCATTTTAATTTGGTTTCCTGATTTTAGTTTAACTGGATCTTTGATCAACTAGTAGTTTAATCATTCAATTATGAGGAAACCACTGTTGACTTTAACATTCAAAGTTCACCCTTATAAGCTTTCTTGTTTATGGGTGAGGCAAGCAGTATCATTTGCCGGCCTGCTCGCTGGCTTCCCATGCAATGAACCATGCTCTTGCATATTGCTTAATTTGAGGTTCAAATTAATGTAGGATGCAAGTTGTTGAATGTTTAGTCTATTCCAGTAGGTCAGTTGTGCTATCAGTTAGAGACAAGTTGGGCTACTTTGCAATGTTTTTCGTTTCCAAACAAATAGTGATGGTCGGATTGGTGAGCTATTGTCACCTATAGCCTATAGTCGTCGGTGATTTTCAATGGTCTATGGGGATTGTGACATTACATGGCTAACCCTAAGGTATTTTAACCCGCTGGTGGCTGGAATGGTAGCTTCGGTTTTACATCGTGAGATGCAAAAGGAAACTTGTTCAATTGGCTTTTGTATAAAGACTTCATATTCAAGCTAATGTGAAGTGCTCCCCCTAGCTCTAGATGAGCTGATACTTCAGGCACAACTCCATCAGGACCATCACCCCATACATCAGCCTGTCCAAAAACCTGATTCAAGGCTAAAACTTACCATGAGAAACTAGCACTCCACCAGCTGGAAAATCTTGAAATCACTTCTCCCAAAGAACCCAGATGGTCGGTGTTACCTGTTTGTACCCATGACCAACAAAGCGAGCACGAAAGGTTGTCGAAACAGACGCTGAATCAGTCTTATGTTTCATA